GGGGGGGGGAGAGGGGAGGAGGAGAGGGATGGAGAGTGTGTGTGATTACGTGCAGGTGCACGTTGATATAGCACGATGTACAGCTATGTCAAGCTGCATGAAGTGATAAAAACGAGCTGGCATTTTCTTTGAATGGAGATCAGATAACATCTGCGGTATGCGCTCGAAATTTCACACCATACTGATAAAAATGTTAAAGTGCAAGTCAAAGAAACGTCGTGCTTGCTTCACTGAAAGAACTGCGATTGAGAGAAAGATAAAGAGACAGCGACCGAAAGACTGAGGAACAAACAGATTGATGGATACCAAAGGATAACCTGAAAACTCACCAATAAGCTAACATGTATTATACAAGTTAACTTTTAGTAAACGTTTTGCGGCACTTGCAAAACAAATAAGTCATACGAGTGCCGAAGAATAGATGTGTTACCACAGCGTAAAATTTACAACAAAAGCAAAAACAACAACAACAACAACAGCAAGAACAACAACAGTAACAACAACAACAAATGTAGGGGAGGTAAGGACGACAGATATTTGATTGAAAAGAAGGAGCAAAGTACACCAGAGTACTCAACATCTACCAACACATTATATATAAAATAAACAATATGACAGGCATTGACATGATTCATAAAAATGCAAGATATAGACCATAGACCATCTGGAGATTTCAATCACAGAAAATCTCCCAGCACTGAAATACGTGAGAAATTTTCAGACAGCAATAAAACGTTACCTGTTTTGTTGAAACTTTTGCCATTATCAAAAACAAATTGATCGGGTTTGTTTGTTTTTTTAAAGGTAAAAATAAATAAAGTACAAAAACAAAATACCACAGCATGCACTGTCCCTGAAACTTGTTCATTCATAGGCATCAATCAAACACAATGTATACAAAAAGGCATGCACATCAAACAAATGACATTAAATACACGCACAGGAAACAAATCAACACAATTACGAAATCATCTGACTCTTGCTAGACACCACATCGTTTCCCTTAGCTGATTTGGGTTCTAGTTACAGTGGCTCGTTCAAGGACACACAAGAAACCACTCACCTAATAGATTTCGCCACTTAACAGTGAATGAAATAATACAATAGACTCCCCACCCCACCCCACCCCACCTCTGGGGGTATACATATAAACAACTACACAACAAAACAAAACAAACGAAACCAAACCCAAACAAAACAACGAAAAACACCACCACCACCACCAGTGACAACAACAACAACAACAAAATAACTACAACAACAACAAAATAACAACAACAACAATGACGACACAAAAACAACAATAACAACCAAACAAACATACACAGAACAATAACATCAGTAATCAGGTTAGCAACAACCAAAAACCAGAGGAAATAAGAGAGCCGCCATTTGCACATAGCGTCAGGTAATGGACAAGGACAAAAAGCGGCTCGTAAAAAGACCTCACCTGAAAGCGTACAAACCACCCACAGCACAACATAATAATAATAATATAACAACAGACTGAAAAACATTGAACAATAACAAACAGAAAAAACATATATAACACTAACAGACAGAAAACATATAACAACCGCTCACTGCAAACTACATGGTCGCTTTTAAGGACAAGCGGGCTATCCCAGATTTCGGCGGTTTCCAGAAATCTTGACCGACACCAAAAGTGGGCATTGCCCTAACTTCTCCTAAAGTTTGGTTTCATTGGTGTGTATATTTGTTTGGTTATAGAAAAAACCTCTCCTTGTCTTTAAAAGAAACTGAACAAGGGGCAAAAACTTTACCTTCGATTTTATCAGTATATACAATTCTTCGGGATAGCTCTCTTGTGTTTAAAGGCGACTATATAACAGAGAGAAAACTTGAGTAAGAACAGACAGAACAACATTTTACAATAACAGAGAGAAAAACATAACAACTACAGACAGAAAAAACAACACATTTAATAATGACAAAAACAACATATAGAAAAACACGAGAGTATGTACCAACACCATCAAAGTAGAATATGAATAGCACTGACAGCATTATACTATCGTGATGTATCATCACCACTCAGTGCTGGGTAGCAAAATAATTAATGGTAAAGAAAGGAGCAGCATTAAAACACATCTATATAAAGAGAATCATGAAATAATACAAATACACATAGTAATTGAAATAGGCGCCGAAACAACATTCGAAGACAAAGAGAGAGATAGAAAGAGAGAGAGAGAGAGAGAGAGAGAGAGAGAGAGAGAGAGAGAGAGGGG